TTTTATTTTATTATTATTATTGACACCACCAACCAATGACAATATTGTCTTTTTGGCTAGCTGATATGTGAAAAAAATCCCACTAAAGTAACTAGAATCTATTGTTCCAGTCTTCTGAGTTCTTCCCACTGTTACTAGCTGCACAGAGAATATGTACTCTGTACTCCCAAAATCCCTGTGTAGATCTGGGGATAAGAAAAAAACAAAAACCATGCCATATGCTTTAGGTTGTCAAATTTCGGCCTCTGAAAAATGAAGGATCTATACGCACAGCCACAAAAGTTGTTGTTCACATTCTACATAAGCCTAAGAAATCTGCACCTTGAGCCAAACTAAAAGAGAAGCAAAAACTGTCTTTTATAAAAAGGAATTAATTAGGGTGAGTTAACAAATCTCTGCCAAGGGTCAATACTTTTAAATATATAGTTATAAGATACCATATGGTGTAAGTGGCCCTTGAGAAAACACTACCAAGTTATAGGCAGATAAATTTTAACTTAGTGTTATCTTACATTTGCTTTTAAATTGTTTAAATTTTAAAATGAGCTATACTGGATATTCTTAAATGAGTTATACTGGATATTCACTTCTTAAAATTTTGTATCCTAAAATAATTTCACACTTGCTGGGAAGAAACATGGTTTTATAAAAACTCTATTTCACCTTCATCCATGTTTCACAGTGGTTCATATTTTAGCACATTCGTTCCCTTTCTCCTTCCAGCCATCCCTACACACACATACTATCACTGGTCTTTTCTAAACCATTTGAGAGTAATCTGCAGATATGATGCCCCATTACCCTTAAACATTCCAGTTCATATTTATGGAAAATAATAAATCTGCACAACAATGAGAAAAGAAGAAATAAAAGGCCTTCAAATTGAGAAAGAAGTAGAGCCATCATTATCTGCAAATAAGATGATACTGTATATAGAGAACCCTAAAGATTCCACCCAAAAACCAATAGAACTGTTAAATACAGTCAAGTAGCAGAATAAAAAATAAATACCCAGAAATCAGTTGCACTTTTATACAGCAATAATGAACTATCAGAAAAGGAAACTAAAAAAAATCCCATTCACAATTGCTTCAGAAATAATAAAATACCCTGGAATAAATTTAACCAAAGATGTAAAAGACCTGTAATTGGAAAATTATAAGACCCTGAAGACGATAGAAATAAGTGGAAGCATACACCATGTTCATAGATAGGAAGAATTAACATAATTAAAATGTCCATACTACCCAAAGCAATCTATAGATTCAACAAAATTCCTATCAAGATACCACTGGCATATTTCACAGAACTAGAATAATCCAAAAGTTTATATGAAACCACAAAAGACCCAGAATAGCCACAGCAATTCTAAGAAAGAAGAACAAAGTTGGAGGAATCACACTACCTGATATCAAATTATACTACAAGGCCATAGTAATCAAAACAGCATCTTACTGGCATAAAAACAGACATATAGATCAATGGAACAGAATAGAGAGCCCAGAAATAAGCCCATACCCTTTATAGTCAATTAATATTTGACAAAGGAGGCAAAAGCATACATGCGGGTAAAGATAATCTATTCAATAAACGGTGTTGGGAAAACTGGACAGATATGTGCAAAAAAATGAAACTAGACCACCTTCTTACACTATACACAAAATAAATTTGAATTGGATTAAGCGCTTAAATTTTAGACTCAAAACCATAAAAATCCTAGAAGAAAACATAGACAGTAAAAACTCGGACATTTCTCTTATCGATATTGTTTCTGATATATCTCCTTGGGCAAGAAAAACAAAAGAAAAAATAAATAAATGGAACTACATCAAACTAAAAAGGTTTCGCACAGCAAAGGAAACCATCAACAAAATGAAAAGGCAACCCACTGAATGGGAGAACATACTCGCCAATGATACATCTGATAAAGGTTTAATATCCAAAATGTGTAAGGAACTTATGAAACTCAACACCAAGAAAACACACAATCCATTTAAGAATTGGGTAAAAAAACCTGAATAGACACTTCTCCAAAGAGGACATACTAATGGCCAATAGACATATGAAAGGATGCTCACTGTTACTAATCATAAGAGTAATGTAAATTAAAACCACAATGAACTATCACCTCACACCTACCGGAATGGCTATCATCAATAAATCAACAAACAAGCCCGGCTGGGCGTGGCTCAGTGGTTGGGCGTCGACCTGGGATCCGTGCAATCAGGGTTCGATTCCCAGTCGGGGCACATGCCCTGGTTGTGGGCTCGATCAATGACTCTCTCATCATTGATGTTTCTGCCTCTCTCTCCCCCCCTCCTTTCCTCTGTCTGAAATCAATAAAGATATATTTTTAAAAAATAAAAAAATTTTAAAAAATAAAGTATGAGACACTTCTCTAAAGTGTCTTTTAAAAAAAAGAAAGAAAAATAAATAAATCAACAAACAAGTGTTGGCAAAGATGTGAAGAAAAGGGAACCCTTGTACACTGTTGCTAGGAATTTAGATTGGTGCAGCCACTGTGGAAAGCAGTATGGAGTTACCTCAAAAAATATAAAATGGAATTGCCTTATGACCCAGCAATTTCACTTCTGTGAATCTATCCAAAGAAATCCAAAACACTAATTTGAAAAGATATATGCACCCCTATGTTCATTACAGCTTTATCTACCTACAATTGCCAAGATTTGGAAACAGCCCAAGTGTTCATTAGTAGTGGAATGGATAAAAAAGCTGTGGTATACACAATGGAATACGTCTCAGCCTTAAAAAAGAAAGAAATCTTACCTTTTGCGACAGCATGGATGGACACGGAGAATATTATGCTAAGTGAAATAAGCCAGTCAGAGAAAGACAAGTACCATATGATTTCAATTATATGTGGAATCTAATGAACAAAATAAACTAACAAACAAAGTGGAAACAGACTCATGGATACAGAGAACAAACTGACAGCTGTCAGAGGGGAGGGGGTTGGGGGCTGGTAAGAAGGGTAAAGGGATTAAAGCAAAATAAAAAAAGAAAGACTCATGGGCACAGGTAATAGTATGTATGGGTATTTCCAGAAGGAAAAGGGGGTGGAGGGAGATAGAAAAAGGTAAAGGGGATAAAAATAGTGATGGAAGGAGACTTGACTTGGAGTGGTAAACACACAATGCAATATACAGATGATGTATCGTAGAATTGTATACCTGAAACCTGGATAATTTTATTAATCACTATCATCCCAAATAATTCAATTTAAAAAACAAAACTCTAGCCAATGTAATCACCATATAAACTTCCATATGAGGAGAACAATTTAATAGAATACTACTATCCCCACAGATCCTATTCAAGTTTAGCCAGCTGTGCCAACAATGTCACTTTTTCCAATCTGATCCAGGATCCAATGCAGGAATACATTGCATTTAGCTGTCATATCTCTTCAGTCTCTTTCAATCTGAAACAATTCCTGTTTTTCTGTTATTCATGGCCTGGACAGTTCCAAAGAATACAGGTCTTTCATTGTGTAAGATGGCCCTCAACCTAGGTCTATACAATATTTCATCATGTCCAAACTCACACCAAGAATTCTTAGCCAGAATAGGAAATAATGCTGAGCTCTTCTTAGCATAACTCTCAGGAGGCACATGATATTGATGGTGCTCCACCCGGTCAAGTTGGTGTTTATGATAAAAATACAATTTTCCTGTTTTGTACTCAATCTAGTAGTGGGGTGGGATGGGGTGGAATATTCTTAGATTTTGCCAGTATCCGATTCCTCATAGAACCTCCACCAGCTTTGACATCCTTTGATGACTCATGTCTAAATCAACCACCACTCTCTGGTAATTGCCAAATGATGATTTTTTTTTCTATTTATATAATTCCTTCTGCTTTTATTAACAGGCATTCTATTATGGAAAAGGTTTCCTTCTCCTCCATGTATTTATCTTACCTATTCATTTGTATTAGTATAAACTAATGGATTCCTATTTTATTCAATGGTTATCATTGATTACTACCATTATTTTGATGCTAAAATTGTCCCAGATTTCGGCCAGTGGGAGCTACTCCAAGCTGGCTCCTCTGTCACTTTGACAACATTATGTGTTAAACATTTCCTTACTTTTCAGTATAAATAAGATGGTCCAGGCTCATCATGCACATTCCCTACCCCAAACCTTGAATCAGCCCTACTTCCAAGGAGTACTTTTGGAAGCGTGATATTTAGAAACCTATGTCTCACACCTGGTATGATCATTGCCATTGCAGTGTCATAGCTTTTAGGCCCTCTTAGGGAATGGAGCTGGAAAATATGCACATATATACACATACATATATACTATTTATATCTATTACTATATTTATCTGTTTATACATATTGAAAAAAATGAGTTTATATCAATTTCTCCAATTTCAATCTAATACCTGAGGGCTCTTTCATTCCCCCTTTCTATGCTTATAAATTTTTTCTCCAACAATGAAAAATGCAGCTTTTATACTCCTCAATATTTGCTCAATTGATTTACTTATTTACTCAATGTAACCAATCTCCTACACACCAGCCACATCACTTGCTTCCCCAACCACTGGCATGCCAATGCCTCTATACCTGCAAAAGAAGAGAAGGAAAAGCAAGGGAAAGGAAGAAAGATGGAGAGGGAAAAGTAGGAAAGGAGGAAGGAAAAGATGGGAAGAAGGGAAGGGGGAGGGGAAGCAAGT